GGCCCCCCCAAGGCCCCTAATCCTCAGAAGATAGTTCACTCCTCTGAGCTTAGAACAAAGCACTGAGAGATGGTAAAGGAGCCTTAATTCAGGGACTTTCTTTCAGAAAAGAAATCTAAAATATCCACCAGTGCAAATGTGGGAAGTAATACGTTTTAGGCTGTCATGTCCTGAAGAGATGGCCTGTGAGAGTCAGGAAGAGGTATCATTGTAGGGTGTTGTTGTTGTTGTTATGTGCCGTCGAGTCGCCTGCGACTCATAGCGACCCTATGTACAACAGCCCTAAACTCCGCTCTGTCCTGTGCCAATCGCACTGTCTCTGACACTCCCATCCCAATTATCCCAGTCACTGAATCAATCCACCTCATAGAGGGCCTTCCTCTCCTGCGCCGTCCCTCCACCCTCCCAAGCATGATGTCCCTCTCTAAGGACTGGTCTCTCCTCACTACATGTCCAAAGTTAAGTTAGACGGAGCCTCAGAATCCTTGCCTCCAAGGAGCCACCCGGTTTAACCAGGAGTCAAAACCATGCAAGGGGTGTAGGAATATGACGTTATAGGCAGACATCTTTTTTTGTTGGCTTTGTCTGGCACAGTGAAGTGGGCTCTCTTCCCAAGATTCTAATCATCACACCAGCCCTGTATTAGAAGACATCATTCCTGTACTGATGGGAAGAGGCTGAGGGTCAGGGAAATGGAACCCACAATTAGCAAGGCTCTTACATGAGCGAGCCAAGATTTCCATCCAGGTACTATTCCTTCCATAGCATGCATGCTCAGAAAGACATGGAGACTTAAGAGAAAAAGAAGAGAGAAGTGGAGACAGATGGAAGGAACGGTGAGAGAGAGAGAGATGGATAGTGGAGGGGGCAGGAAGACAGAGAAATGATTGATAAGAGAGGACCAACAGATGGATAAGGAGATAATCAGCAGGAAGGTGGGTGGGTGGGTGGATGGATGGATGGATGGATGGATGGATGGATGGATGGATGGACGGACAGACGGACAGACAGGCAGACATAGCTAGCTACCTAAAGTCAGCAGTATCTACATCTGTGTCTGCTTGGAAGCCACTAGGTGGTGTACACAGTGGTGCACACAGTCCCCGTGCTCAGCTGTTGATGCAGATGGGAGGTTCGTGGTGCTTTGGGAGAAAGGTCTGGCAAGCTGCGGTCACAAAGCAGCCTTTGAAAACCCATGGAACACAATCCTCCTGACTCACGAGTCAGCACTGTGTCAAACAGCAAGCGGAGAGACAAGTTCATGATGGAAAGATGACCACCAAAGCTCGTGGGCAGGGCTGAGGGGACCGCAGGTTCCAGTGGATGTTGAGCTGTGTGCAGGCGTCACTCTGAAAGCTTCTCACTGCACCCTCACGGACCCCCTCTGCCACCACCAAACTCATCAGGGGCGTGGGGCCGGGGCAGATACCCACCACAAAGCCAGACAAGCGTCCAGCAAGTGGCTCTGCAAAGATCTGCTGTGAGGCCCCTTCCACGCACCGGGTATGGAGGCTAAGGAGAGGGCACCACCTTTAACGTACAGCTTGTTATTCCCATGAAGCACTGGATGAGGAGAGGTTCCAAGATGAATTTGCCCCAAGCCATACCACACACGCCTGTGAGAAGCCAGTGAGCAGACTTCCGTGCAGAACATCAAGGTGAACAACGGTCACTCACTGCTGTGGTCGCACCACTGGTCCTTCTGCTGCTTGGAGACACACGGGTTTGAGTTGCTTCTGGAAGGCAACTTGGGAAGCTCGGCCTATTCAAGAAAGAGTTGTGAGGCCAGGCTCTGGTGTAACTCCAAGACTTCAGGCTAGTCACATCCTCGCTGAGCCACCCCAGCCGTACCAGTCCCGTGTTCTGTGGCCTGTGCACACCACACGGTCCTAGGCAGCCGTTTTGCATTCTCTTGAGTGCACTCTCACGAACCACTCAAGTGACCTATTGAAACAGCATCTTTGTGACAGATAATCTTAGAAATGCTGTATCCCAGCTTCCACAGGCTTCCAGCCAGGCTCCCAGCCAGAGCCAGATGTCCTGGGCTGGCAGCCAGCTCTGCTCTGGTGCCCGCATGGCCCACGCAGCCAGCAGCCCAGATCTGCAGGAACAAGGTGTGCAGCGTGGAGGAGCGGTTATCTGCAGACACGCCAGGAGGTGATCTGTAGCCAGCTTCCACCTGCATGTCCATCAGAGGACCTCTGGGAGGAAGGCTGAGGACAGAGACGCCACAGAGAAGAATGGTGTCTGGTGGGAGGTGAGAGATGTGGGAAGAGGGAACAGAGCTGGAAGGGAGGCACACAGAAGACTGTGCCTCAGGAAAAACCTGAGATCCAGGAGCTGGATTATTTGGCTGCAAAGCCTGGTTCTATCACCCTGGTGCTAGTCCGCAGATGCTGTAATGCTAACCCAAAGGCCATATATCTGCAGTGGTTCGAACCCACCAGCAGCTCTGAGGGACAAAGACGGGCCGTCTCCTCCCATTACAATTTCCAGCCTCAGAAACCCAGTGGAGGGTCACTAGGAGCCTCAGGTGACTCTGATGAGAGTTGTACACCACCTGAATTTCTGAGCCTTGGTCCTCTCATCTGTGAAATGGGTGTAATACACGGTGACTACCGTCTGGTTGTTGCTAGGATGAAGGTGTTAGATGAATAGCTTTCTCTGGACTGAGGGCTGGAGTTTGTTAGCTGCTCTCTCGGACCCTGACAGCAGCCTCACCCGTGGGGAGTGGAAACATGCTGTCCAGTGCCCCATGTGCAGAGAAGCTGCCCCGCAGGGTCTCCAACCCGTGACAGTCTGGAAGCACAGAGTTAGTTAGATCAGTCTTGCAAGGATGGGTTTGAACCACTGACCTCTCAACTAATAACTGCTGAATCTTTTGCACCACCCAGGAAACTCAAGGAGCCGGCTAGTCTTGTGAGGTTAGCGGACACCTACAAGGCTGAGGTGATGGCTCTCCTGTCCCCAGGGCTGGGGCTCAAACCTGGAGGGTTCTCCTTGCCTCTGCAATTCTGCTGCCGGATGGACCTGGGCTTTAGATGGATGTCATCAAAGCAGTGAAGGTCAGGGCTCTCCATGAGAAAAGGCACCCCTACAAGTCTGAGGGTCTATGGCAACATTCCCCCAAAGCTCAAACCCACCCAAGACCCTCCTCCAGCTCCTGGGATTTCAGAGTGCCCTGGCTGGCTGGGAGGCCCTCTGGTGCACGGTGTGCTGCACTATTAACTGGAAGGTGAGCTGCTGTGCAGGGCAGAGTCCTGTGAAAATTTACCACCTCAGGGACCTGAGGGAGGGTCACCGAGAGTACAACTCCAGGCACAGAGCACAGGTTCTGACTGGCTGCTTTCAAAATATGATAGGGTGTCCTAATCTCAGGTTTGCTGTCATAGCAAGAGGCACTTGACCTGTTCCTGCACTGCTGGGCAGCGTGGCCATCTGTCTATTGCCCTCTCACCCCGAGGGAGGAGGAAAGGAAGATGTCAGAAGGATGACCAAGGCAGAGCTGGGACATCACACTGTAACCATGGCAGCTCTGTGGCCCCGGAGGACCACCATGCCAGCCACACATTCTCTGATCCACACCTGAAGCCACAGCACAGGTATGTCACATTCTGTTTTATTGTATGTGTTCTAAACCAGTGGAAAGTCATCGTAGCCCTCTCAGACCCACCTGTGTCACCCCCTGCTCCCCCCTTCCATGGTAGGAATCCTGAATCTGCAGGTGCTGCCATCCAGTGGCAGGAGTCTGGTGGCCGGGGACCATAGGGTCCCCCTCAAGGGCTCCAGGGTTGCAGACCCAACTCTCTGCAACAACCTCCCAGTGTCTGCCTCACCTGGGCCCTCACCTAGAGTTACAGGCACTGTTCTCTGGCTCACCGCTGGGGGGATACATCCTACCTCTGACATGGGCTGTGTACAATAAATCACAAGAGAAGTAACAGTAGAGTGCACTATTAAAACGTATTAAGAGATAAGGAAATAAAAGACGTCATTAATATGGATTTGAAAAAAGTCCAGTTTGCCCTCCGGATGCTCCGCTGCAGACACCCTTCTCCAGGCCCGTCCCCCACCGGGAGTGGGCAGGTCACCCAGCTGGCCTGCAGTGAGTCACACGGAGGAGGAAGTCGGGTCTGACACGATTCTGGACTGTGCTGCTCCCCAGAAAGACGGGTTGGCGCACACATGTCCCCTTCCGGTCTGGCAGAGAGCTAAAACACTCGCCAGGGCCAGGTACAGGCTGTTCCAGATTATTCCCAACGTGCCAAGGAGAGACAGGCCCTCCCACCCACCACTCCCTGCAGCCAGCTGTCTGGGGGGCCTGGCCAAGGGAGTTTCTCCGGATGGCTGGATAATATGGCTGTCTGGGGGGCCTCAAGCTTGTTCCAGCCTCCTCTGCGCCCACAGGGGGCCCTGGGTTCGCCTGGGTGTAGATCTGCCCCACTTTTCAGCAAGAATGGGACCTCTCCAGCCTCCAGAACTGGATTTCTCTGAAAAAAATATTAAAGAGTGTGAGATTACTTCTGAGGTCTTCTCCAGCGCGGGGTCCCTGACTCTGAGACCGCACAGCATACAACTGAGGAAGTCAAGGGGCTCGGAGTGGAGGGTACAGGCACACGTATCCCTGCAGCAGACAAGTCGGCCCCCGCAACGCAGGGAGATCACCACCCATACCTGATACTTGAGGGTGTGTAGGGTCCAAGAACTACTAAGTGGTCTATGGAGACCCAAGCACCGTTGGAAAGTTAGGTCAGGAGTAGAGTGCACTGGAAGAAACCGGAGAAGAGAGGGTGCAGGAACCCCAAGTTCACGAGAAAACCCATGACAGTGCTTTTCCCTGTGATGAAAAAGTGCACAGGAGGGGTGCCCCCGACACGCACCCCTCCAGCTCGCCCCGGCGCTAACTGCACTGTGTGTCTCCCTTCCTCCCCACGCCAGGCCCAGCCCATCCACAGCTCGTCCGCCCGCCCAGCGTGGTGCCCAGCAGTGCCCAGCGGCGCATGGACAGCGCCCTCAACACCAGCGTCCAGGGCTTCCTGCTGCAGGGTTTCTCCGAGTTCCCGCGCCTGCGGCCCGTGCTCTTCCTGCTGCTGCTGGCCGCGCACGTGGTCACGGTGGCAGGCAACCTGCTCATCCTGGCGGCCGTGGCCGCGGCCCCGCACAGGCCACCCATGCTGCTCTTCCTCGGCCAGCTGTCGGCCATCGAGCTGGGCTACACGCTGGTGGTGGCCCCGCGTGCGCTGGCCGACCTGGCGGTGCCCGGCCCCGCGCGCGCCCACCCCATCTCGCGAGCGGCCTGCGCGGCGCAGATGCAGCTCTTCGTGGCGCTGGGCGGCGCCGAGTGCTTCCTGCTGGCCGCCATGGCCTACGACCGCTACGTGGCCATCTGCCACCCGCTGCGCTACCCCGCCGTGGTGACGCCCGCGCTGTGCGCGCGCCTGGCGCTGGCCTGCTGCCTGGGCGGCCTGGCCGTGTCGCTCGGGCTCGTGGCCGCCGTCTTTCGCCTGCCCTTCTGCGGGCCGCGCGTGCTCGTGCACTTCTTCTGTGACATCACCGCGCTGCTGCACGTGGCCTGCACGCACGGCTACGTTGACGAGCTGCCGCTGCTGGGCGCCTGCACGGTGCTGCTGCTGCTGCCCGCCGCGCTCATCCTGGCGTCGTACAGCGCGCTGGGTGCGGCCCTACGGCGCCTGCGCGCGCCCGGCGGCCGCCGCAAAGCCGCCACCACGTGCGCCTCGCACTTGGCCGTCACCTTCCTGCACTACGGCTGCGCCACCTTCATGTACGTGCGGCCCAAGGCCGCCTACGCCCCGCGCCGCGACCGCACGCTCGCGCTCGTCTACACCAGCGTCACGCCGCTGCTCTACCCGCTCATCTACAGCCTGCGCAACCGCGAGGTCACCGCCGGCCTCCGCAGGGCGCTGGCCTGGCGGCGCTGGTCCATCGGCTGCCCGGGGCGGGCGCTGGGCGAGGCCTGACGGTGGACAGGCTCCCCCATCACCGGCCCCCACGCGGGGATCGTGCCAGGGGCACTGGGACCGACTCAGGACAGCTGCCCAGCTGTGGCCCCACCTTTCTCTCTTCCCTTGAAAAATGGCCAAAGACAGAGCAGGACCCTCCAGACCCAGGCTCCTCTCAGTAAACATCTGCTGGGTTCTCACCCGACCCCACCCCTTGCTGGGCCCTGCGCGGCCTGAGGCTACAGCGAAGAAAGTGTAGATCCTAACTGCCGAATCCAGGACAGCTGGGCAGAGTGCGCGTGACCAGGGCTCATCACCGATGGTGGAGGCTCACAGGACAGGACCTCGGAGCGGACCTGGGGGGTCAGAGAAGCTTTGAGGCAGAGGAGACAGCTACAAGCAGAACTGAAGGTGGGCAGGGGCTACCTCGGTGGCAGGGTGAGATACGCCTTGGTTGGAGGGCCTGGTCTCCGGTGGGAGGGCGTGGGACCCCTATATGAAGAGAAGGCTTTAATGCAGTCTGGAGAGCAGTCACCGGTGGGGCCCAGGCAGCAGCTGCAAGAGGACCAGGGTGTCCACAGAGGACAGAGATAATACAAGAAGTAGAACCACTGGGCCCTGGCAGGATACGGGGAGAGGAAGAAAGGAGGCTGTGGTAGGGTCCTGTGGCCACTATAACAAAGAACCACAACAGAACAGCCTACCATGCCAGAAATAGTTCTCACGGTTCAGGAGACCAGAAGTCTGCCATCAGGATGTGAGTTAGACTTCTTCCTCCCAAGCTGCTAGGAAAGGTGTTTCCTTGCTACTTAACCCAACAGTCCCAAATATTGCTTGCAGAGTGGCTGTATCTCTCCAGTGCCTGCCTCCATCATTTGAGTGTTTCCCTTTGTGTCTCTTCTTCATACAAAGACACCAGTAACTCTGGGTCAGGACCACCGTAATCCAGGATGACCTCACCTTAACGTAACTAAACTGCAAAGACACTATCTCCAAACAAGGCCACATTCACAAGTAACAGGTGGTTAGCATCTCAGTGTGTCTTAATGAGAGACACAAACCAATTCTTACAAAGCCAGGAACTCCTGCCATGAAGGTGAGGTATCAACCTCTGAGCCACCACTGCCCTCTTAGGTCCTCTTTAATCAAGGGCTACGTCCACTAGGAAGCTAAGGACGTAACAATGAAAATCATATTGGCCGTTTGGAGGAGGTGGCAGTGAGCATGGGGCTGGGTGGACAAGTGGGAGAAAGAGTGGGAAAGTAGATAGGACTCGGTACAGATGGCACTGAAGATCTAAGAGGCTGAGGAGTCGGGATGACGGGACCAGCAGGCTCGCTGAGATGTAGTGCACAGGAGGAGAGCCGGTCAGCCGGGAGAAGGGGGAGGTGACAGGTTGGCCTGTGTACAAGATGAACAGTCGGAAGTTGCATGTGTCAGAAGACTCGGGACTAGAGAAGCATTTGGACGTTTCTGGTAAGTCAATGAGGATGGGTGTGGCTGAGGTGGCCCACAGAGAGTGGGTCCAGTTTGAGCAGAAGCAGATCTGAGACCCCAAGGAGCATCACCATGACGGTCAGACTGACCGCTTTCTAAGCTTCATGCGAAGCATGGCATTCGGTCATTATAAAAACTCAGTGTGGAACACCACCTTCAACAAAAAACAAGAGGCAAGGAACAAAACCAAGCTTGGAAAACATCTGATCAGTGCCAAAGCTTGGTTTCTCTAATGCATGAAGATCTTTTTCAAACTGTAAGAAAAAGACCAGCAACCAGAAAGGAAAGGAGCAGAGGATATGAACGGACTGTTCATGGTGAAGAAAACGGTCGTGGTCTTTACTCAAAGGAGAGGAGTTTGAATTCACCAGCTCCTCCAGGAGAAAGGTGAACAGTGTCCCTCCAAACAGATTTGCCGCTGGCCACCGTACATGAAGGACATGGCACTGTGGCAGAACCTACTTGATGGCAGTGGGTGTGGTGTGGTTAGATCTGGTTTCATTGGAAGTTGTTGTTTATCGTCAAGTTAGGACCGGCACATAGCTGACCCTCAGAGACACTTAATTGCAAGGGAAGAGGTTGCCCATCTTTCTCCCGGGGAACAGCTGGCAGATTTGAACCACATGCCTTTGGGTTAACAGCACAGTTTCTTATTGCTAGGCCATCAGGTCTCTATAGGAAGAGAAAGGCAAAGTAAATTTAACAAGATGCCCTATTAATGGATTAACAACACTCTAAAAGGCGACAGTCTGAAGGGAGGGTGGGCATTCTCCTATGTTGTTGGTGGAAATATACCTGAGTCACTTCCCAGAGGGCTGCTGGGGAATGTAATTAAAGGCTTGCTCCATCTGTCCCAATAATGCCACTTCCCGGTTTTGATTCTATAGAGGTGCTTACCTGGTGGTAAAACACGTCTGTTCTAAAACAGTCATGACAGCACCACTCAGTAAATGTGCATGGGGAATGTTTTCCATATCAATCCGCATGTGAGTAGTTGGTTGGTTTTTCTTCGAAGTACTTTTAAGCTCCTGTCAATGAGTGATGCAGTTTTAGGTGTATTATCAGCAAGATCCCCTCCCTGGAGGACAGCGTGCTTGCTAAGGTGTCAGCAAAAGACAGGAAGACTCTGAGTGGTGGGGGGACTGGCATGGCAGCTCTAAGAGTGGCCTGCTTGGCTGTGCTGAGGGTCATTAGGAGTTGAAATCAGCTGAGAGGTAATGGACAGCGTGTTGGATATGAGGCAGCCTCAGATTTGTGTGGTTATGTGGAGAGAGTAGAGTGGACAGTGACGTTACAGAAGAGTCAGCCCAGTCCGGCTCTTCTGCAGGAACATCTGACCTTTCTTTCTGTTTGATTTCCATTCTGGAATGTTCTCACACGTCTTCTCAGGCTGATTCTTTACCATATGATACCATCTAAATGCAAATATTGACCTTCTCAAAGGGCAGCCTTCACGGAGCCCTCTATCTCCTCCTCTCCCCTCGCACCCTGTCAGTCTGTCCTCCCCGGTCATCAGTGACTTCACAGTCAATGTTGAATACCATCTTGTTTATGGGCTTCTTCCAAGAACAGGGTCTCTGCTCGTCACAGAATTCCCATTTCTAAACAGCACCCAGCACAGAATAGCTGCTCAATAAATATGTTGAATAATTAATGGGTTTATGTGTGTGGTATGCTAACATTTATATACAACATGTAGAATAGGATGTGTGTGCTTCTGTGTATCTAGGGTGTTTCAGAAACAAAAAACTTGTGGCCACATTAGAAGTTTAGACCCAGAGGAGCAGAGGTGGCGGGGTGAACCAGGGCATCCCTTCATCCTGGAAGTCAGGGTCAGCAGTAGGATCCTCCATTGTTAGGAAGGTCAGAATCTTACCTTTTATGCTCCTCATGGGGTGTGTGTGTGTGTGTGTGTGTGTAGTGGTGGTGATGGTGCAGTGATTAGGCTCCAGAGGCCGGGGTGGGGTGGGGGTGGGCGACGGGAAGCTGCTGAGCTCTCAGCAGGGAGGGGAGTGAAGGAAGAGGGTCCCCACAGGAGAATCTGCCATGAGTGGAGAGGGGGCAGCCTCATGAAAGCGCCAGGCTGGCCCCGGGAGCAGGTGGATGAGCCAGCGGAGGAGACACTGACTCGCCGTGTAGGTGGATCTGTACGCACGTCCTGGACCTGCTGGGATAATTCTTGGGGAATACTAGTTCAGTCTGTTTTGTCTTTATTATTCTAATGTATCCCAGATAAATCTGTTGGCTTAGTGGTAAGGAGTTGGACAGCCAATGCGAAGGTACACAGTTCAAATCCACCAGCTGTTCCGTGGGAGAAAGAAGAGCACTCTTCCACGTGATTTACTGCCTCAGAAAACCCTGGCAGGTCAGCTGTGGGTTGTTTCTGACATGATGGGCGCACAGCCACAGCAACCAGATTCCAGGTGGTTCTGAGAAGACTGGAGCCGCGGGCCCTTCAGACTTAACCCCCTGAGGTTCTCTAACTGAGGGGCACAGAGACCTCAGCATCACCTGAGCCTTCCCCTCTGGCAGTGGGATGAGAAAGGAGAGGAAGCAAAGTGTCCTGATAAAGTCCCTGGGACAAAAGTGACGGGATATGGAGACATCCAAGCTGTCCCTGTAGTGTGAGAAAGGCCCTGTAATGCCAAGGTCTTAGGGGCGGGGGCAGGAAGAACAGTGTCTGAAGGTGAGTCTGGACATGCACCTGGCTACCACCAGCAGGGGGTACTCGTGAGTTCCCAGTGCTCCATGGGGAGGAGCTGAAGGCAGCAGAAAGAGCCGGACTCCCTGAGCCTGTCAGCCCAGTGCAGAGAGAGCACTGTTACAGCCGACAGCAACAGGGGGTCCCTATGGGGTCACACAGTCCAGCCTCAGAGGTGGTGTGTTGGTGTGCATGCACACGCATCTGTGTGATACACGTATGCGTGTATACGTGTGTAGTGTGGTGCAGTGTGTGTGTGGTGTGTATGCATGTGTGAGTGTGCGTGCATCTGTGCATGTGGGTAAATGTGTGTCTGTACGTGGTGTGATTCACCCAGTAAGCTTGGGCAGTGAGAGAGCATAGGTAACTCACTGCACTGCACCCCATGTGTCTGGGTACTGAGGTAGCAGACCTGGCACTCGCCACCTCGACAGTTCACAGTTACCACAGTGGTAAGGAACGTGCGTGATCCAGCGGTGTGCGCTGAGATGTGAGGTGTGGAGAAGCTGCCTGTGTTGCTTCGGGCTGGGTGTCAGCTTGGTGGGGCCCCAATCCTCACTGGTTTGACAGTTACTTAGATGTCATTATTTGCCAATTCGTGATCTCTTCATCTTCCCCCCCCCCCCGAATGTCAACTTTTGTTTAATGACCTTGTGTTTGGGACCTAACTATACTTAACTGTCCAGTGTTAACACATAATAAAGCAGTTTTGATAAAATGGTTCTTTAATTATCACTTACCAAGTCCTGCTTTTTCCTACCACCACTACCTACCTCTAAAGTGGTTTCTCACAGATCACATGGTCATCCGTACACAGGAA